GGCAATAGGGAGAGCCGCGAGGGGTGAATGTTAAAAATGCCAAGGCTCGTCGCATGCGTCCCAAGGTGTTCCTTCGCGAAGTATCTTATTGGTATCTTGATAAAACACGCTATTTACTTAAAAGAGATGTCGAGAACAATATTAGAGGCAATAAAACCAGTAGTAAAAAGAGTATATAATAGGAGCATAGGGAGAGGAGGAGAGGACAAGTCGGAAGTTCTAAGTAACTGTGGCGCACATGCACGCAAGTACACAGGTGAATTGTGCATAGAAACGAGATAGATATATATATATATATATATATATATATATATATATATATATATATATATAGACAGAGAGAGAGAGAGAGAGAGAGAGAGACAGACAGACAGACAGACAGACAGACAGACAGAGAGAACGTGGTGAGGCTCGGACTCATAGACCCGCTTGCATATAATCAGCAGCCGTGCTATAATTTAGATGGCGAGTCGTTATAATTCAGGTGGTGGGTACATTCGAGTTGGTTCAGCTCATGGCAGAATACGTTCGGTCTAGCCCCAGGAGAACGCGTAGCCGAGGACGAGTCCAGCCCGGGGAGTAGGCGACAATGAAAATGCCGAGAGCGCGCGGAAGGCGGAATGTACGAGCCCTCTGTACCACGGCTAAACAATGCCGTACGTGGTATAGGGCAAATATACACGTACACGCGCCTGCTCGCTACAAGGTATATGAGATGCCCATAAAACTACGTCCTCCAAACGAACTACATGCGTTTGTAATTCCAACGCCGAGCGCCTTTTCTCTTCCCCGGACGTATGCAGACAGGCGTGTATGTCACGGCCCGGACCCCGATTTGCCTCGTAACCCACGGCTGCATTAGAGAGATGCACAAGAGAGCGCAATGGGCAGGGTTGGGGGAGGGGCGAACGAGGCAGGGACGCGTCTTCGTTAATGGATACGCCGGACCGTGTTCGAAATTCCAAAAGACTAATGAAGATCCTGCAGGTTGCTGCTCCTGTCGGATAAGCGCCTACTCTCCGATTCAAAATTATTGTTTTTACGCTTAGCGTAATTTATTTTTTCTCAACATCAGAGCGAGTTAAAGACTCTTTCTGTCTGTCTCTCTCTCTCTCTCTCTCTCTCTCTGTGCGTGTCTGTCTCTGTCTCTCTCTCTCTCTGTGTGTGTGTGTGTGTGTGTGTGTGCGCGCGCGAGATGGGACCGAATGGGTAACGGAGCAGGGAACAGCAATCACGATGGCGACGATTACTCTGGAATGAGTTATACCGAGAGATATGCTGGAGAGATCGAGCTTTTTCCTATCGATCCTTTTCCCATTACCATATCTTTAATCAGCGATTGTAGGATTTTAAGTAAGAATCGCATGATTTTCTTTAATAAAATTTACCGCGTCACTTGGATCGTTAATGTCATTGGGTAGAAAACGGCCTGTCGAGTCTCGGTTTTATAAAAATGCCGATTGGTCATTTTCACGTATTCACTGTCTATTCGTAAATATTCAAGGTGCACAATCCTTGAGGTGAAAATTCATTGTTTTAAAACACATAATTTATTTCCCGCCAAACAGCGATAGCGCATTCAAATTATTAAGGAAGGCGAAGCTTAATTATCAAGAGTATAAAATCTCAAGATCCTGTCTAATCTGTCAATTTTTCATGACTTCTCAAATTCCTCTTCTATTTATATCCCCACAATTTCATTAATAATAAGCGATAAATTTATATATTGAAATGAACATTAAATAATCATAGTAGATGCATTATACGTATGAAACATGTAAAAGTCAAGTCTCAAGGATCTACTATTTATGTAAATGAACAAAACAAGAGAGTACTGGAAACGAATAAATATTAAATCGTACATTGGCCCATTAAATAAAGAAGTTAGTACTGATTTTCAAGCCTGTTTCTTCTCATCTATTATTATTACTACAAAGAAATCAATATTTATGTTACTCCTTCGAAGAATTATATTTTATGTATACAAGGTTAACATATTTTTTTTTCGTCTTTTTTTTCTTTTTTACAGTTTTTGTTTGTCAAAGTGGAAATGTAGATAAGCTACTTGTTTTAAACACGTTTTTTTTTCTTTTTACAAGGAATGGTGTATTTAATAAATATTACAACTACCGAAGGTAGCGTTAATGTTTGATTAAAAATTGAAAGTTTTTATAGGATAGATTACACTAGGTAAAGTATCGTAGAGGGACTTAAATTCCTTAATAAGTCTGAATTTTCGATATCGAATTTTTGTCTCAACAGAATTGCAAATTTAACTGATTTTATTTGCTCGGTGTATTGGTATTGCACAATATAATATCAACAGATAGTTTTCATTCTATTCAATGTTATGCGTGTGAATCTATATACAATACACGGAACTTAATATCAATCACATACATTTCTTTATCACTTTTACAAGTTATTTATTTATACGTAAAGATTTTGTTTTTTATTTATTTATTTTTTTTTTATTAAATATATAAATTATATAAATTATATATATATATATATATATATATATATATATATATATATATTTATATATGTATATATGTATATGTATATGCATGTTTTTATACATCTAAAGTAATTTTATAATTTGTAGTTTTAAATAATATCGTTGTTTTCACGTTCTTCTATAACGAAATCATGATAAGGCAAGAGAGACATTGAAATATAACTAACAATTAAAACTTATGTACCAACATTATCAATTAATATATGTAATTAAAAATATACCCTTTAAATGCAATTCCAATATTAATTATGAATATAACATATTTAATGGGAACACAGATCTTATTAAAAGCCATATAATGAACGCAAAAACTGAGTAAGAGAATGAGAGAAAGAATGATAGAGAGAGAGAGAGAGAGAGAGAGAGAGAGAGAGAGGAGAGAGAGAAATGAAGAAAAGTGAGATGGAAGGTAAACCAGGCCAATTTGTTAAATATAATTTAAATTTTTTAATTTCCTTCTTGCTTACGATTCAGTTTAAAAATTGCATACATTATGTTTTGAAGGAAAATGAAGAAGAATAAACGTTTACGTTTGTACAAAAAAAATTCTTAAGTATTAATCCGTAAATACTATATTAAGAGTGTTTAAAAATATAATTATCATAAGACAATGCTTTATAGGCATTAGCTTATTTTAATTTTAAAAGTAAAAATATTTGCTTTATTTTTGCATGCATATATAGAAATCTATAGATCTAGAAAAATAAATAGTTCCATATCGAAATATACAAGAATTTTATCGTCTTAATAAGTAAAAATAATAAAGGCTTCTAGTATCATTAAAAACATTCATGATAAAAATAACTAGAATCTTTATCGGCTAACTAACACCATAACAAAGCCAATCAAAATTCAATTTTTTTTTATTATTGTTCTAAATAACAATGTGCGACATTGCGAAATATATTTCTATTAGAAATAAAGAAACGAAAACAAATTAAAAGTTTAATTTTAATTCAATACCTTGTCAATATTTGAAAATAATATATGTAAGAATATATTTTAAGATGCTAGCGTAGTATTTAAATATAAAATGTTATAACATAGAATGAAGGTACTTTGTTCTGCTAGAGCAGCATTGCAATTGTAGATAAGTCGAAAAGCTGTTATCGGAAGCACGTAACGTAACAAAGTCATAACTTGAAGTCACGAAGCCGTCGGAAGCGGCAAACAAGACTCACGCGAATTAGTGACGCTGGTTCTGGCTAATGCTACAATTCGAAAATATAATGTTCTCTTTCTCGAAACTAAAAAGACTCTTTTTCCGACTCTCGGATACATAATAATGGTAATAATAACAACGACGACGACGACGACTACGACGACCACTACTACAACGACTACGACAACGACTACGACAACGACAACAATAATAATAAGATTAACACGAAGAATAGTAACGATAAAGAAGCAAAGCAAATGTATGAGAATTTATGAGTTGGTATTGTCTTCGAACGCAATTCTTCTAGCCTCGCGTAACGGCGCAGGAATTAGCAAATAGTACATACAGCTCCTTATCAATTTATACTCGCGTATAATCATTAATCGCGTAAGCTGGTATGTTGTTGTTTGTTTCTTTCTTTTTGCTTTTTCTCTTTTTCCTTCATTTTTTTTTCTTCAATTTTTTGTTTTTTTTTTGTTTTTATTTATTTTTTTTTTTTTTGTTTTTGTTCTAGGAAGGGCATCAATCGCTTTATACTCGTATTGGTCGACTCTCTTTCTCACTTATCTGCTAATGCAACATCTAGCGACGAATGGGCAATTATTCGAGGGAATCGTACCACGAGTTTTACACAACACGACGTGCTTGTTGTATTACTAAAGCATTCGCAGGGTGTTTCAAACGCGCAAGACGATATGCAAATACATAGAGCTCAAATTTCATCTCAATATCATTTGCATTCCATAGACGATAATTTAAGTAAAAGTAATTGACGAGGGATTTGATAGAGCTCCGCGCTTAGAGCTGCGCTAAGTGAGTAACGAACAAATTATAAATGTCAATGTGACTCGGACCTCGAGCTCTCTCGATCCATTTACTTTAATATTGGCGATTTGCCTGGACTTTTTATCGGGTCAATAATCACTCGCGACTCACGAGCAAACTCGTATCGAGGATCGAAGCCCAAGTCATCGTCGGGGACTCGGGTTACCGAGTACCCGCGTCCGTCACGAGCTTCGCCGGTACTCTCCCTACGGGCATAACGATTAAAAAACGATGTGTTCAATGACTTCCAGACGAAGGACGGAGGGACGTTTGTCGCTCGCAGACCTCACGTGAACGTAGGCGCCGAGGTCGAATAAATGCGCGGATTGTGGGTGGCGGGTGGCGGGTGGCGAAGGGCGGGCGTTGAAATCGGCTGGGGGTCCGGGGATTCGGTGGCGATCGGGCGGGCCGATCGCTCGAGACGCGAAATTCGCGAATAAGCGTGACACGCGAGGACCGGGGACGCGTCAATCCGAGGGCCGGGAGACTCACCTTGCGGCTGTAATGGCGACGTCGGCTATGGCCCAGAGGTCGCTGCGGCTCGCGGATGGCGCGAGATCGCTGCTGCTCGTCCCTGCGACTTGCGAGCTTCGATCCGACGGGGGCTGCCCTCGTCGGGGCTGCGTGAGTGCGAGGTCGTGGGCGAGGTCGAGGGCGGGCTCGTTGAGCTCGGTGGGCTCTGGCGATGGTGGGTTCCTGAGGATGGCACCGGCGACGGCTAGACCATGCCGGCCGGCCACTCGGCCGCTGAAACACCCAACGTATGAGTCGACGATGAGCTCGCTCACAGGCAGCGAGGCTGCCGCTGCCGCTCGTCGCTCTCGTGCACGTTGACGCGGACATCAGGCACACTGCACTCTCTCATTATATCGCGCTCTTGACGGGCCTCGGGTTGTGTAGGTCGATGGATCGCGAGCCAGCGTGTTCGCGTGTGCGTGTGAAGGGTGGGGTGGGGGAGGTGGTGGCGAAGGTGAGTAGGTAGAGCGGCGTCGTGAGAAGCGGGACGAAGGGGGCCGGCGGGCGAGGCCCGCACGTGGTGGTGTCTCGGGGGAGCGGGATCGAGGGATCGATCGCGCTCGGCACGGAGTACGGTCTGCGAGGCGGGTATGAAAGAGAGCCGTAAACTAAGCGCGCGCTCGCTCGAACAACTGGTGCACGCTCACGGCGTGGTAGCGGCGACTCGCGGCAAACGCATCGCCGTGAGCGAGCCGGGACTTGTAGTGGGAGAGAGAGGGAGACAGAGCCGAGCGAAACCAGAAATACACACGGGCTTGGTAACGTGCGCCGCTCTCGCGTGGAGAGCGACTATATACAGCGCCGTGGCCGCGATGCCGATGGCGGCGGCTCGTAAGGTCGGTAGGTTGGTACCGACGAGCAGTACCGACGGCCAACGGGACTTGGCTCGCCGAGTTCGCGCTGCTGGCGGCCCTCTGTCCCAGCTGCCTGCCTGCTGCTGCTGCTGCTGTCGCTACTGCTGCACACCAGAACGAGATCGAGATCGAGATCGAGATCGAGATCGAGAGAGAGAGAGAGAGAGAGAGAGAGAGAGAGAGAGAGAGAGACAGAGAGAACGTGTGTGCGTGCGTGCGTGCGTGTGTGTGTGTGTTTGCGCGCGTGTGTCTGTGTGTGTGCGTGTGTGTGTGTGTGTGTTTGCGTGCGCGTGTGTTAGAGAGAGATGTATATGTATAAAGGGCGAGATGGCTAAGAGGGAAGAGAGAGGGAGGAAGAGAGTCAGAGAGAGAGAGAGAGAGAGAGAGAGAGAGAGAGATGGAGTTGAGAACCAACCGTAGGACGGCACGGACGGTCGAGTCAGGCCAATCAGGCGACCACCGGCTCACACTCCTTTTTACCTGTCCGACTCGACTCGTTCCTTCTGTATATAGCACCTGCGCTGCTGTACGCTCATCTTCTCTTTTCGAATGCAGAGCACAAATAATAATGAGTGAAAGAGCGCGTGAGGCGAGGGGGGGGGGATAGAAGGGAGCGAGCAATCGTTCCTACTTTTTAGCGCGTTCTTTTATTTCCCAGAGAAGATGGGACGTCGGCGACAACGATGATAATGATAATGATACGAAGGGGCGGGATTTGGCCAATCCCCGTAAGAAGCGTGGGATCGCGGAATACTCTTGCATTTGTCTGGATTTTTACCCAGGCTCTGCCTTGTATCACAAGCCGTCTCTCTCTCTCTCTCTCTCTCTCTCTCTCTCTCTCTCTTTTATTTATTCCGGGGATCGTATTCTCGAGTATTTCAAGTCCGATTAAACTTCGCAATAATACTTCGTCGGAACATTGCACTCGACGAGTTTGAAAAATCATAGCGACGTTAAATTTCGTAAAAAATTGTTTCGAACGATTAATATTACATTAAATTTGAAGAGATTATATTTCAAAAATATTACACAGGACGATTTTTTAATGAAAAATTCACGATGTTTGCCAAGTATTACTTATGTTAAAATTGTCAGTCAATAACTTGTTATGTAACGCTTAATGCAGAAAATTAAAATTATCATCATTCTCTTAAATAACAATTATTAAATTCTTAATTAAACAAAATTGATATTAAATCTATTAAATTATAAAAATTAATTAAAAAATTAATGAAAAATAAAAATAAAAAGATGATAAATAAATCTATAAACGCTAAGTGCTAATATAAACTGGTCTACAAGTTTAAAGTATAACAATTATAAATACAAATTTCTAAACGTATTTAAACGAGAAGTTTTACATTTCTGATAAATATTTAATAATTCTTATCGATATTGATTTATTAATAATAATTAAGATATACAAATTCCTTTTTCATTGTAATATATAACGAGCTTAACCTTTTAATTTAATAAAATACCGTTGTAAAAAGAAAGTTGATTTACAATGTGTCAATAATGAACCCTAAAAGATAAATGGCTACGCTGGCTATCTCTATTAATGATTTTGAAATGCAAGAAATAAGAATACCAAAATACTATATGAAATCACAGATTTTCATTTATACATTTACCATTTCCTATAATATGATAACGTGAAAATAACAGTGGAAAATCGTACTTTTGAAAATTTTGTTTACACGTGTTTATTTGTGTGTGTGTGTGTGTGTGTGTGTGTGTGTGTGTGTGCGCGCGCGCGCGCGCGGGTGTAATTATGTATCAATATGTAATTAGTGTATCATCGCTAAATATCGGCTTAATATTTTTCTTTCAAATTTATGAAAATATCCTCAACTTGAATTTATGAAAAAATGAAGTTGATAGTCAATTAGTGAGTTGTTTATTTATTAAATTAATTTTCCTAACTACATACAATGACAAGATTATTGAGCAAATCGTTTAATTCAACTAAAAGTAATAGCATAAAAAGCTTCTAATTTTAATTAAATCCCAATGATAAAACATTTTTAGATAACAAAACATGAAACCATTATTCTTTTTATCCTAATGCAATTTCTAAAGATTACACAGTAACTGTTTATTAACGGCTTTAGAATAATTTTTCAATCCATGAAAATTAGAACAATTTCAAATGAATCATAGTGGAATAAAATTGGCTTTTATTCTTTCCGGTCGATGCCAATGGTTTTCTACTGGATCGTCGTACTTTTAATGATAGCGACTATTCAGACCATCGGCGAAACTTTAATTATAAAATTCAGGACTTGGTCGTAACAATTTTCCGCGATGAGTGGTCATTGCATTTCTCTTTTCACGGATCAACGATGCTTTTGTTTCGTAGAGAGCCATCATCGTCGTCATTATCAACCACTAATTTTCGCCAAGAGTAACGCCTAGAGAGTGAAATAAGCAAGTAAAAAGGGGCAGAGAGGCGAGAAAAGAAAAAAATTCGCTATTCTCGTGAAACAAAGTGCTTTGCGAGAAAGGCAGGTCAAGATTGAGTCACTTAGCCAAAGACTTTTATTTCAATCGCCATTGCTTTTGAAGGTGACCGCAGTATTACATATATATATATATATATATATATATATATATATATATATATATATATTCTTTAGCATATATAGACAAATATACGTATTACACTGTACTATACATACATATATATTATACTATACATATATATACATATATAACCAATGATCGTTCTCGCGCAAAAGACAAAGCCACGGCTATATAACCTCTTCAACGATGGCTCGGCATCGATCCAACACCAGTCTTTCCTTCTTTCGTTCTCACTCTCTCTCTCTCTCTCTCTCACACACACTCTCTCTCTCTCTCTCTCACACACACTCTCTCACTCTCTCACTCTCTCACTCTCTCACTCTCTCACTCACTCGCACACACGCACGCACGCACGCACGCACTCACACACGCGCGCGCGCGCAGCCTCGAGTGCCGTGGCGAAGGAAGAGGGAAAAGGCGTACCACCTCTTGGAAACGTTTAGCTCGTCCCGTACACTTCTTTATATTGCAGCGAGAGTTTCGCAGGCGTGTACTCGCACGCATACACAGACACGGTCCAGGACAATACGCAAGACCCTTCATTTGTGCCGCCCGCAGCCAGGATAGACAGCTAGCGTCACGGATGCCACGGAGATGCCGCTCGCATAGGAGATATCGCTTTTTCCCTCAGCGTAGTCTTATGCCTGCCGGCGGTACTCGCTCAGCGGCCCGAGAGCATCGCTGGCGCGGATCACCGGCCTCGCCGTCCGCGGCTACGCTTCGAGATTATTCGCGGAAAAGTATTTCTTTACGCTTACCGGAGCTCTCCCGTATCTCTTTTTCTGCCATTTTTTTCTTCAACCTTCCCCCGTCGCCCCTCCGTCCCACGTCTTTTCTTCCCTTTTTCTAGCCTTTTTTTGTCATGTTGCCACGTCCGCCGTCGCGATCGCAGTCGACTCGAGTCTTAAATGCAACGCATATGACCAATGAGACTATGTAAATTCACTTGAGGCTGTAAATATTCAACCGACTGAAAGTTTTCCATCTTGCGCCATTTAATGCTCGCTCTCTCTCTCTCTCTCTCTCTCTCTCTCTCTCTCTCCCTTTCTCTCTCTCTTTCTGTGTCATGCAGGCGCGCGCGATGACCGTTTGATTTGACGATATTGGAAGCAATTGGAAAGACCGAGTCAAGCGCCATTCTCGTCGCTTGGTCATGACCGTGACTTATTTATGAAATTCGAAAGATGCTTTGGAATTGTATTTGTTCCCTTTATGATCAAGTCTTTTATAAATAATAATAATCACTTAAAGTCGCTTCGAAAGTAGTGCCATAATATATTGTGCACCGCTGCTTGTTTTAATTATTTTTTACTCCTAAATCAGCATTATTTTGTTGTCATTTCTCTCTCGCTCTGTCTCACTCGAATTATTCTACTAAAGCTACATCTCCTGGACTCTTGAAACTTTTATTTTAATCTTAACGAGAGAAATTCGTTAAACAATGGCACACTCTCGCGCCCCTTTTAAAACAAATTAAATCCCTCGTAATGAATTCTCGTGGCAATAAAGTAGAGCAACATCTTGAAATTTATTAATTCAACTCATCGCGATATCATCGAATTATCTGGGAATTTAAATGTGCGACACTCGGCAGGATCCTTCATGCGATGACTCGTAGCGCCATTATTGCTCGGTAATTAAACCACACTCCAATCGACTATTTTTATGAAAATGATCGTTTTAGCTAAGGACAACCCCATGGAATAGAGCATGGGGGAAATGGGCTTACTGGCATTCTCCGACGGCTCAGCTCATTAACCATCGCACCCCAAAACCTTCGGGAAATTCATT